TCCCGCCCGCTCCCGCCCAAATCTTGACGTTTTTTGCGTTTCTGCAGTTTTGTAATTTTTCATGCAACATTTTTCATACGCATTTTTCATACATCTTCTTTGATTCTTCTGATAAATGAGATGCAACGACATCTTCAGCCATTTTTTCAATATTCGAAGTAGTATCATCACTATCATCTTCAGTCATTTTCCCTTTGAATATTTCATAAAAGTAAACATCTAGGTACAAAATTATTAGAACCACTAAACACGAAGACTTGATCACCTTTTCAAAACTATTGTTGTTGTAAGTAATTTATTACATTATTTATTAAATTAAATATTTATATATGTAATGAAATTAATTAATTCAGTTATTACAATGTTGTTTGGAACGAAAGTTCACACAGAACACATATTCAATGTGTATTGTTTAATTTATTATAAAATTAAATTTAAACAATAGTCAATACAATATTGAATGACACAACTGTGATAGAACATCATAAGGATGTATGTATCAAATTGGTTCTTTAATAACTATTATACACACAATTTTCAAAGTGTTAGTCGTTTTCGTGGAATTTTGAGTGCCAGTGATTGGGCCAGTGATGAAATGATTTCCGAATCTTTCTTTAGCTTTATTTATTAGCTAACATAGAGATATTTTTCACAATGCAATGTATTCCTAAGTATTAGATATTTAAATGATTTCATATCAGTTTCTTTGAAGTGTGTAGTTTTCGTGATTTAGAGAAAACATTTCTGAAATATTTTACTTACAATGCTTTAGTAAACAAACCAGAATTAGAATAGTATTGTTTTTGCTTGTTGTCGAAACTCCATCTCAATGCTGTGGCCTGGTAATTTATGACCCTGAGTTCGATTTCCGGGGATACCAAGGAATATTTTATAATTTCTCGGATACGTAGTATACTTACGTAGTATAGAGAAAGTATTGTAATTCAGCAGCGAAAAGTGTATCTTTTATAGAAAAATTATTTTCTAGAGTTTGGTTCCTCAAGTAGGGAAAAGTACGCTTATAAATATTGTGTTAAATTGAAAATCATTAAAATTTGTAATTCTCTGAAAGTTGCAAATCTTCGAAAACTGGAAATTAGAATCTCTTGCGCTCCTTTGGCGAAGGATGTTTTTCATGAGATGGCTGAACTTATAGTGGAAATGAAATTGCAATATTAAAATATTACTTACCATTATACAATAAGCTAATACGAGAAAGTACATGCTGTTATAGTTCCACTAATGTTTGTTTGGCGTTGTGTGACAATGTCGTTTAATATCGTGGCTGTGTGTGTGTGTGTGCAGGCGACGGATGCCGACGGGCCGGAGCAGGGCGGCGGCAAGGTGTTCTACAGCGTGGTGGCGCGCAACAGCGAGCAGGCGGTGCTGTTCGTGGAGCCCGTGAGCGGGGAGGTGCAGCTCAACTCGCCCGCCCGCGCCGCCCACACCGCCCGCGGACAATACGAGCTCACCGTGCGCGCCACGGACGCAGGTCAGCCACCCGCGCCCAGCGACTGACGGCCTGGGCTTCCACTCCCGACCACGGCAGGGTTTGCGACATTAGCTCACCTACCTAGGTCGACTTCAGCCGCTGTCTGGACGAGAATTCTGGAGACCGGCTGCTCTGGTCGGTACCAGGTTTCTCTGAGGAGAATACCGGAACAGTGCCCTAATCATGGGGAGCCCTTTTCTTCCTCTTGCGTATCGTGCCCTCACCCGTTACTTATATACACTTACATGCACTACACTACCACAAATATCGGGAGACCATCCTGGAGCATCGAGATTATTGCGATGCTTTGCTTGTGGGAGATACCTGGTCGGGGGAACATCGCTAGCCGACTTGTAGGTCGGCGCCGGATCTCGTCATCTAGCGGGGAAGATCACAGCCAACTTCCGCGATGAAAAAGCATTCTCCACATTTTCGGAACTAATGACCATTGTAGTTGACGCGCCCGGAAACAGTCATCAATCAGTGAATCTATTGGCCAATCGGGGAGACGGGATCGCGAACGCGGGTCGAATCCCGCCCCGAGCACGGGTGTTGGCTTCTGTGCAGTGGCTTGGTCGTAGCTTTTCCAAACCGGCGTGTGTCATCTAAAGAAACCTTTCCTGTCCTTGCCAACCCTTCTTTTTCCACTTCCCTGCCTGGGGACGAGGACATGCCGACTGCTTCCCGCAGTTTACTTTTCCTAACCGTTTACCTACCGCCCCAAAAAGGCTTAGCCCGACTGCATCCCGTTCCGTTTCCCTCCTTAGTGCGAGGATTGACTTCGATGCTTCCCTTGGTCTGATTAGAATCACATCGATAGATTCTAATTCATCCACTTCTGCCTGTTTTCAAGAAACATTTGCACGTCTTTTAGACTGCCAATGTTGAAAAATATGGCTTCAAAGTTTGAGGAAACAAAACATGAAATCACCTTACACGAGCAACTTCTTACCTCGCTGTCTTAAGATACACCATTCCGAAGATTCTGTCATTCTAGGAATGCAACATCAACGTCAATGTTTACATAACATCGTTGATGTGATAAAAACGTGTATTGAAGACGATGTTTTTAACATCAATGTTTTATGTTAGATGTTTTTGCGTTGTCGATATTTTTTAAATGAAAAAAAGTGCATCAACAAAATTCTATAATGCCAGCCCGGATAACCGAGATCGCTGAGGCAGTTGTGCCGTGGTGGGTGGAAGAGTGGCGGGTTCGAGTCCCGCCTTGGGCATGGTTCATCCTCGCAGTTAACATACCGTTACTCGAAATAGTGGTCGCTAATGACTTAGAAGTTGATGCAACCTTAAATAACAAAAACAAATCTATAATAATTTCCAAATAAACATAAATTGAATATTATTCATACCAAAGTGACAAAGGGTGAAAAATAAATAAAATTGAAGTTTTGTCAATAAAGAAACGTATGTTATTTTTCATTATCGAATCAGATAATCTAAGTTTTGTTAATTGCCCTGATGATTTTTTTTACTTTGTTTTGTCAGTTAAATCTCAATTAACGATTAATAAATGAAATCACTTTCAAATTAAATCCTTCATTTGTTATTAACGTCAATGTTTATTTTGAGCACTTGGCTATGCGTATTCCTACCGCACACATCGCTACCAAGCCTCTAAATGTCCAGTGCAATCAATATTGCTATTTGATTGTAAATTTCACTAATTTATAATTAATACTCCACTAATGCACGTATTTTAATACATGAATTAAGTATATATAAAAATGTGTACCACTAGTAATATTCTAATACACATACATATAGTGCTCTAGAGCTGTCGCCATTTCTCTGCTCTCAGTCTCCATGCCTCTCTATTTCACCATAGATCATTTTGCATTTCTCTTGCCGTCATAGCCTCTCGCACTTCCTGCTGCCATGCAAGTCTGGGTCTTCCTCTCTTCTGTCTTTCTGTTGTCACCCATTGCAGGACTCGTTTAGGCCATCTTTCATCTGTGATTCGCATAACATGACTGTACCAGACAATTTGTTTTTGCTCTATTTCGTCAAGGATAGATTACTTTACATTCATTTTCTTTCTTATGTCGTCGTTCCTGATGCGGTCACAAATGCTATAACAGCAAGGTCTATGCCAGAAGTCCATTTCAAGGACCAGCAGCGTCCCTTTTGTACTTTTATCTATCTCCCAAACTTCTGAACTGTATGTTGTTGAGTTCACTCTTAACTAGTGAGGAGTAAAGTCGTCTTTTCATAGTGTTAGTGATGGTTTTGTTCCATAAGACAGAGGTATTTATATTTGTTTACTTCTTTCATTTTTCCTCCATTTTCCAGAAGAAGATCTTTAATCTCATTATTACCAACCGCTAGGTATTCATATTTGTTCATGTTAATATCCTGCTTTTAAAAAGTGTTCATTGAGTTTATGGATCATGAAACTCAAATCATTTGCATCTTCTGCAATTACTACCTGGTCATCGGCAAAATATAAAGTATACAATTTATTCTCTCCGATCGTCATTCCCATTACTCTGCATTGTTTCTCGCACTGCTGTAAAATTTGATACAGCTATATTTTTAACAGTGTTGGGGAAAGTCAGCAACCCCGACAAAGACCTATACTGACTGGGAATGGATCCGAGAGCCTGCTGTAGATCTTAATCTGAGAGGTGTTGTTCTTAAATAGATTCTGTGTAGCTCCAATTAAGTTTTCACTGATTTTAAGTCCATCCATTTCTTCCCATACTCTAGCAACCAGTACATTGTCAAACACCTTCTGCAGATCAATGAAACCCAGATGAACTTGTTCTCTTTTCTATAAGTTGTTTTAATTTCAATATATTGTCTGTGACCGATCTACCAGTAGTAAAACCACATTGTTCCTCTCGTATTTTTCCTTTTATCTCTTCTTCTATTTTATTTTGTATTATTTTTCTATACAGTCTACCTATAGATCCAATAACTGCTATTCTTCTGTAGTTTGTTTCATTGTCTCTAGACCCTTTCCTATGGATCAGTGTTAGGTAAGACATTTGCCACTCCTGAGAAGGATCCTCTCCATTCATGCACCTTAAAAACATGCTTTTGAGCATTTGGTGCAGTTTATAGGGATCATATTTCAGTAATTCTGCTGGTATATCTCCCAGACCATGTGACTTATTGGATTTCATGGTCTCTTTCTAAATCTTTAATTGTTAGATCTACCCAATGCTCAACTTTCACTTCCTTGTGTGACTGGAAGTTTCTGTTTTCTAGCAGCGGTCTCCGAAATACTCTTTCCGTTTATTGATTCTAATGTTTGATAATGCAATATTGTTTTTTTCTTTTGATTTAATAGATTTAATTACTTTCCAGGCTTTTGAGGTCTGTGCTCTGCCTATGAATTGTTCTATATAATCGCATTTATCCAACCACAATTTATTCTTCCTTGATAACACTTCTTGTTTTATTTCTCTACTTATTGCTTTGTACTGTAAATTAGTTTCAGTTTTTTGTCACTAAGCCATTTTAATTACAGCTCTCTTTTCCTCTTAATTTTTTCTTCTAGACTTGTGTCCCACCAATACTGTTTGAGTTTTAATTTACAAGTCCCTAAAGCCTCTTCTGCAGCTTGGTGAATACTTTCTTTTATGTGTTCATATTCTTTTTCTATTGGCCTGTGTTTAACCAATAGTTTAGTTTCAAGTCTTTTTCTGTAGAGATATGCTGTACTTTCAATGAAAAGACTGCTTAATTTGTATTTGGTAGGTTTCATGATGGTATGAATATTTTAGCAATTACCAAACAATGATCACTACATTGGGCTCCCTGTTTCACTTTAACATCTTGTACTTTGAGTGAAGTTTTTACTTAGTTGCACAGAGGTTTATTATATATTTGAGTTTTTTGTATATTGATACCATGTGTACTTATGAATATCTTTATGTTGGAACAAAGTGTTATTAATTTTCATTTCATACTCTTCACAAATATTAATAAGTCTTTTTCAATTGTCATTATGAGTTTCCTCACTGTGTTGACCCACAATACTGATGTTCTTATCTCTTCCAACTCTGCCGTTAAAATCTCCTGCAAATATTATATCATGGGACTTTGGAATATCGTCAAGGGTTTCTTTGACTGTCGTTTGAAAATCATCTTTCTTAGCCATTGGGGCATCATCATTCAAATTATATATTCCTATGACACTTATGTATTTCCTCTGATTCTTAACACTACCTTAATAAGACATTCGTTTATATACTCCCAACTTTTTATATATTAACCGAATCTTTCACCAATAACAATAGAAATTCCGGCTTTGGCATTTTAATGTTTGTTTACTCCATTGTAAAAGTGCACAAAAATGTTCAGTGTTTCGCTTCCCTTGCCTTTCTTATTTGTTTCAAACCAGACGGCTATATCTATGTTTCTTCTCATCATTTCCTGGATTACTTCTTGTTGTTTGTTTGATAT